AACATTCATTTGAATTACTAGACAAGTACTCACCGTACTAGAAAACCAAAAATTACCGGTGGGTTTGCCTGGATGTGGCGGCGAATATCGATGAATTCGGGGCAAACGCTATACAAGACGAGAGGAAATCGGAAATCTGCAACTGGAAATTCTGGTCGAGATAACGACTCGCGGAAAGATTTAATTGCTGACCTCAAAAATCACAGAACTGGCTTCAACGTCCCATAGAATCAGTTTACAATCTGAGCCAGCAGATAGTAACACATTATCCACTGTTGTATGCCATTCGATTTGATCAACCCGTCGAGAATGCCGTGTTAACGTTCGTACACATTGCGTCTGTACAAAGAAACTTTTACATAAGAGAAATTTGGCGAAATACAAAACAAGGACGCGAGTGGTCATGTCGCGGCTCCGTTGGCTACATTATTTTACAGTGAAGGCATCCTGAACTTTTAACATCCAGTCGTGCGCTATCGTGGTCGGAGGGAGGAGAGGGGGTAGGAGAATCGACACCGCCTTGTGCCCCTTCTCCATATTAAGACTTGGATTAGTGAGACTCAGCCACAGTTCTGTGCCAGCACCTCTATATTTTCGTTGCAAGAGTGTCCCCCGCGACCTGGTCATCTGCGCACACGCCTTAGCCATGGTTAAGGGGGGGGGAGGGACACAGACGGTGCAGCTGGGTGCTTCCCTCAAACCATTTTAGTGTCATCATTTGTTCTCCATGAGCCATTACTAACGCTAAAGCTGCAAATTTGGATGTATATTTTTGCGATGCAACGCCAACGCAGGTGCAGCCCTGCAGTGCCAGGACATCTGTCAACCGCGACTCCTGTCCTCTTCTTCCTTTTCTCTTCCAAGTTTTCCACCATTCGTTCTTTTCATCCCCTCGCTAGGAGGAGGAGGGGGGGGTCGTATTTGGCTTAATAAATCTTCTCAACAACTGTTTTTTCCTGCTTCACGTGGGCCATCCACAACGTTTGAAAACTCCCATGGAGGTGATGCAGTCGTATCTGCTCGTCGCTTGAAAAGGTCAGAGGTCGTATATTGCCTAAAAAACTATTCCGGTTGTTGAATTTCCGGTTTTCCCTCCCGTTTCACATGTGCTATATCCCTCTCCCCCTTCCTGCGTGAAGGCAGTTTCTGAAAAAAAAGCCGGAAACTTCTTGGAGAAATGGCAGAAAGTCGGGAAATTCTACGTAGCAAAGTGGAAGGGGTTGCACCAGGAGGAAATTTAGGGCGAGAGGTGTCGTATTTGCCAAAAATTTTCCCCAGTGACAGAAACTGCCCTGCTTGTGACTGGTGAGTCAAACCATCCTACCTTCATCTGATCCGTTATGTGCCATATTTTCACTGTACAATCTGCCGAACAACTCGCTAACACGTTATCGTTAAAGTTGTCCCATTTAATGTCCGAAACGGCACCCTGAAAATACACACCTCACAAAGTGAAAACGCCTGATAACATTACTAAAAATTTACCGTATGATCCTGTAGATGAACCAGACCAAGTCGTCCCTCTTTCCCAAAATCATCATGCGTGCCGACCTTAATCAAAATGTACTAGAATTTCCTGACGACCTCGGGCTATTTAAAGACACTCCCCGCGATCAAGTGGTCCTCAAAATGACTCCGTGCCTTTTGAACTGTTATACGCGTTCACAAAGAACATACCACTTTCGTCCCTCAAAACGGCGCGATAAAGAAGTTAGAGACATTTGCGCGTGGCAACAGTGGCGACATCATACTGTAGCTGGACGAGACAACGACTCGCGAGCAGCTTCTAACAATACCCGCGCGGCACGTGTCGCACGCGGCGCTTCTGGCACTTTGCCATCTTCAGTGATCCGAGCTTTCCATATTAAGCGCAAACCTCGCACTGATGGACATAAATTGAACACGACTCAGGGTGTTTTAGAGTTCCATTGTCCTTCGCGATTCCAATTAGGAGAATGTGAACAAAAGAGTAGACCTTTTTTTAAGCTTCATGCTCTGCAAAGATGGAAAGGACGTGAACTGAAGAGTAGTTCCTCTTCCATACTCGTCGCAAGAGGAGATAAGAAATGAAGAGCAGTTAGTGTGTTTTCAGACTCACCTAATGATCTTTTAGATGGGGCACTACCAATTGTTACTACCCCAATCTTCCGACATCAGACCAGTTTTACTATCGAGCTTTTTGAAAAAAAGGCTGAAAATTTTGTTTCCAGACCTTCAACCTCCAAACACGAATATCGCATCGCTTGGCCAGGAATTGCCTGGCGCTCACGCCACGGTCCCACGGCTCAAGCTTTGCGCTCCAATCGCTATGGAGAGCGCGTCCTTCACGCCCGACACACTCGTCCAAGACTGCTGAGGGGAGGTCTGTGTTTAGGGTGTTCCCGAGAGTTTTTCCCCTTCTTTTTCTACTGAGGAGCTACTTATGGGATGCTGGTTCATAACGGAGCACCAACTACCCGCAACACTTGATCGCGGAAGATTGTCTTTAACCCCAGCTGTTCAACATTAGTATATCAGAGAATATTTGAAAACAAAATCTTCGACAGACAAATGGGCAGGGCTCGAGTACTATGAGGGCCAAAGAGATGGCCAAATCCTCCGCTGATGAAAATTTCGGAATTAGTTTCGAAGAGAGGGGCAGTAAATGGATGAATAGTGCCTGAAAACGCCACCGATAATCTATGAGCACAACTGTAACAGACTTCGTCGTTCTGATGTTCGGGACAAACAAAACAATATCTATATAAAAATCCCACTACAGGACTAACAAGAGAGTAACTCCATGGAATTTCTATGGACAGCGGAATTGTGTGAAAGCTAAAATAACTATGACCTACCACGATCTTTCCTCCAGACCCTCCCTCTAACGCCACAGCTAGGAACTTCGGATTTGCCGCAACAGTGGATCCGAGTGACGAGCCCCAGTCGAACCATTCCGATCGTTGAACTGATTGACCAGTGAGGTGGCGAAATGTGGTTGCACGACTACCTGATGGACAGCTTTCCTCTGAAAGATGGCGAAATTCTTCAGAGCAAAATCCCGAATCTGAAAATGAAGTTTTCTTTGCTGGTTTCCGGAAAAAGTGCAATCGCTCAGAGTTTTTCGAGCAAAGTGCACTGCCAAAGTGCTTTCTGTCAGTTGCAGGCGCAAGTCATTGAAAAGTGCATTCATGAATTCTAGAGAATGATGAGCTGGACTGTCTTAAAATTTCTTATTTCTACTTTAAAATTAATTCTACGACCCTTACTTTTTCATTCGTCTAAGAGACTCTAGAAATCGGGTACTTGCAACATGGGCCTAAGAAGATAGAAAGCTCTTGGGAGATCACCTTCGAGGATCCTGATCCTTGCTATGTCCGAATTGAACGGGTCCGCAACTGCAGAAGTGTGTCAGTTTCAACAATCGTTGACTGCGCCGAGTGTAGTAGACATCCAAATGCCGCTTTGGACTCCACCCCGGAAAAACGAGCAACGTGCCCCCCCCCACCAGGCATATGTGGAACTATAGGCGTACGGGCTACTTGTCTGCACCCTCTCACTTTTGGAAATCTGGCAGCGGACATAGATAGCCTCCAGGGATGGAAAATGACTTCGCCTTTTTCTCGCCTTCAAGCAGGTTGGGTGGACAATTTTAGTTTTGGTCTATATTTCACACATTATAACCGAACCTACAACTCAGAAACATTAGTCACTTATGGAAGCCACCCCTAGCAGTAGAAGAAGGGATGAGATGTCGTCGGTTGGAATCTAGGCTATGGCGACGCGGCGTTGCAAGCGACGCCACGTGCGCGGCATTCGCACCAAAACCTCGATAGATTAACGACAATGTGTCGAGTCAACTAGCAATTTGCGGCACGAGAAAAGAGAGGAATAGAAAAGATTAACTGAAACAAGACTAATGATAGAGAAAAGAATGGCAAGTAAACGAACATCTAGGAAAGATAACAGCTAGGCTCTCGCTGATGCTCTATATGGATTCTTAGGTTCTTGCTAGCTGTGGATTCCCGACTGTCATAGGGGCTAGGTTCAGCGTGGGCTAGCCTGTTCACCAATTTGCTGTGCCTTCCTGGCTTCAACAACTGATGGAGAACTGGCACCGTGCCAAACCCAGCCCCTTGACAACTCCTCAGAATCCGCAGCTTACAGACTGCATGTCACACTAGCGCTTTCTTGAAGAGACAATAATAATAAGGGATTTAACTTCATGACTGGACTGCTAATGATACCATATTCACGGAAAAGGGCAGCACAAAAAAGAAGTCTCGGAAGCAAGAAATTCCTCACCTGCAGGCATGAGACGACCAGCTATGATCTACGTTTAGTACGCATAGAAGAACAAGCCCGTCCAACTGAAGAACTGACAAGTTGAATATCTGAATACAAGTTTCACGTCATTAAATTGGAGGCCTCAAAGATTCCACAGCCGAGCGTGACGTCACAACGACGAGAGCTTTGCAAGGAAATTCCTTGCAGCCCCTCCAAAAGAAGAAATCACAATCGAGTAAGACTTCTGCACAAAATGAATCAAAAAAAAACAAATGGCACGGAACCACTGTTAAAACCTTTTTCGAAACAAAGTTCACAACTTTATAACACGTACATGATAATATTTACAATACCCAGAACAAACGAAAACAACATACCGCTAACGTAGCTGCAGGGCGGGGGAGGAGGCAGTGCGATGCCGCGGAACTAGAGGCAATGCCTCTGCTCGTCTGCGCTCATGCGAGCTGAGCTTGAGCAAGGAAGCTGTCACTATACAGGCGAGAAGTGCAGAAGAACAGCCTTAGTCGCGCCCAGCATCTCCCCCGCCCCTCTCCAA